AAGTGTGAACATTGTTTTCCTTTCAAAAGCTTTTTTTTTTGTTTGTTTGTTTCTTTTTGCCTCCCCACCTGATGACTTCAGCACAGTATTAGGTCATCTGTAGAAAAGACTTTCTACTGGCGTTCCCCTCTGACCCCCCAGTAATACACACTGATGTGGTAGTGCTACACTACATAAGAAACGTGTGCTAGACGTCTGAAGTACAGCTTAACTTAGGTTTTAAAGTGTAAATAGTGGCCTCCTGACTACCCATCGCCTCGCCAGGCACGAATCCAAGATGGGGGAACCAGCAAAGTGACTTCATGCAACAGCTTGGTATTTTTCTGCTTCTTGTGCAGTGAAGGTCGACGCCTCTTTTCTTCTTCTTCTTTTTAATAGTGGACCAGTGGTTAGTAATGTTTGTATCCCCTGATCCAGATGTGCTACCTGTGTTTTCAGGGCCCAATGTATTTTAAGGCTGGTCCTCCTAGGTCATACGGACTGTACAAATTTGTACCTTCAGGACCACTAAGCAAATGTTTTTGTTTATTTTGAAGTGTGTGTGTGTCTGCGTGTGTGTGTGAGTGAGTATAGCTGAGCGTGAGACCGAATGTGTGAGTTTTGACAGCTATTTACGTAGAATTTGAAGTATTCCTCTGCTCTGAACTTTGCCATTCTTTTACAGAAAGACGGGAAGTTCTCGCCTGAAATAGCGAGAAGTGATTGTTAAGACGTAGACGGACCACGGACATATCTTCAGAGCTCGAAGCACTTGTTTTGTTTTTTTTAATCACCAACTGTCCTTTGAAGTTTTATTTTTTGCAGTTGAAAGTCCTCTTGTTTTTTTTTTTTTTTTTTTTTTTTTTTTATAAAGTGCGGACTCATCGTTGCGTTGTTTGTGTTCAAGAAACGTCAGCCGTCATTGTGGAACAATCATCGGGCCACAGAATGTAATGTAAGCTAATGGTGCTTTCAGCCGCCTGTGTCGGTGTTGGCAGCGAGCTTTTTTTTTTTCTCCCAGCCTCCCCAACCGTGACATCTGCCGTGCACTTCCAGAGCGTTATGCTAAGACCGCGGTAGGGTTAACTAAAATCAGCATACTTAATATTAGGTTGGAGGTAAGCGCGGGAGAGATGGAAGGCTTTGGAAACACGGAGGGAAGCTAAAGCTTTACATTTTGTGCTCTATAAAGGCTCACTGGTGTTGCGCAGATACAGACGGCTGGAGCAGATTTCTCGTTCGACTGTTTGAGCCACATGACTATGAAACTTTCTCTATAAACATCCCTGTTCTAATAAAGTGCTCTAGAGGTGTGACTGGTCCGCTTCTTGGTTTTTGGGTTGGTTTGAGTCACTGCTGTATTCCTGACTTACTTCTGCTGCAAGGAGTAGCAGAAGTAGTCTATGGATATATTTTTCCATGTTACAATTTTAAAATATTCTGCTCTGTTTTTACATGAAAGGAATACAAAATTATATGTAGCTAAAAATTGTCCTCAAATTCCACTTTGAGGGCAATTTTTAGCTACATATAATCTTGGCATTTTAATGTTTCTGTAACTTTTTAAAGCTAATTTTCTTTACTGTAATGTAGATTATAAGACTACAATAATGAGGT